CTATTCATGGGCTTCTGCTTGGCCATGCTGTTATATCTGTATCTTCTTGTCTATGTCTCCAATTTGGGGTGCCACAGTTTGGTTCCAGATTTCTTACAAACCCAATATGAGCTGTTGGTTTCTATTTGTTACAGTGTTTTCTTATTGTGAATGATACTGGAGTGTTGTTACTAGGTTCATGTACTGGCAGAGTTGACGATTGAAGATGCCAGAACAGTAGTTAAGAGCCCCGGTTTTTTTGAAAGGTCAGCAAAGCACCCTGACCAATGGGACTTAGCGAAAGAGCTAAGGGAAACAGCGGCCGAAGCTTAGGAAATGATTTAGGACTTGGTCTGATTTAGGTACTTCCTTCTTTACTGTGAAGCTGCATCTATAATTGGCTGTCTAACTTTTTGTTGACCCCATCCTTATTGGACTGGACATTCTGCAAGGGCTTGTTCATCCATCCTGCCCCTGAGACCTGCCATATATATTTTATGACTTCTCATTATCTTGGTGAGACCCCTCCTATTTATTTATCTTGGGAAGGAATGCTATGCTATCTTCCTTAAGGGGTCTGTATTTCATCTCTTAGATGTTTGTTTTAAATAAAGCTTCATTTTCCTTATCAAGGAGAAAGGCCATTGAGTTTTATTATCTGGGTGAGAAGCCCACTCCTCATGTCTCCTTAGGTGTTTGCTTTTAAGGATGCCTTCCTGTCTTCTTTATCTAACACAAAATTACTTTTGCTGTTTGTTTCCTTTAAATTCTCAGAGCTGTTTCTGCTGTTTATAGTTTATTCCCTTCCACTGTTTGCTCCCTTTTACTCACTTAGCATATATTTTTAAGATTTGTATTTTGTTATTTTATTTTATGTGTCATTAACTTATTAATTACTGACAAATATTCCAGTGGATGAATATTATCCTTACTTTTTTGATTTCTTTGCTAAATATTTGGTTTATTTCCTGATCTTTGTTATTATAAATGTTATAGGTAGTGCTGCTATGAACATTCTAGTAAAAGTTCTTCTATGGACTTATGTTTCTTGTACCTGTAAGTTAGATATCTAGGAGAGGAATTACTATGTCATATAATAAAGTTTTTTTTAACTTTTAAGAATTTTTCAATCTTACTCTAACTGGTGAAGTATTTTACATTCCTACCAGTCATATCTGAGATTTTTAAATTGGATTAAATTTAGTGCATTTTGAAATGGATTTTTCCTCCTTAGTTTCCTGTTGCATTGATTTCTCTTCTGATCGACATTATTTGCTCTTCTTGTACTAATTTTTGGTTTGGTATCCTCTTTCTAGCATCTTAAGATGATGCTTTCTTTCATGTTCTTACGTCTTTCCCACCATAAGCTACACAATTCTAACTATTTCCTTAAAAATGAATTTTGATACAGGGTTTTTATTTTCACTAAGTTATCTAAGTTCTTCATTAAATTTCCTAATTTGTCTCATGCAATATTTGAAGTTTTGTACTTTATTTTGTATTTAGGTACTTATCTCATATTTTGTTGTTTTGGTATTTAATATAAATCCTTTTGCTGAGAAATCATGTGTACACATAAACACACATCACACACAAAATTTATGTGATTTAATTTCTTTTAAACTTTTATTGTAAGCTATGATGGATACGGTGTGCTGTGATAATTTGAAAATAGTATGTATTTAGTTAATGTAAAATTACATGTTGTATATGATATTAAGCAACTGATAATGTTGCTAAATTTTTTTGACTACCTGCTTTATAAATTTTTGAAAGTTGGATGTTAACACTATTGGGGTTTGTTATTTGGTACACACTCATAATTTTTTTTTCAACCTATTTGATACATTGACTTTTCCCATAATTAAGTTTTCCTCTTTTTCTTTAGATATATGTTTTTTCTTTGATTTATCCTTTAATAATATCCTATTTCCAGCTCTGTTTTGATTACTGCTTGCATTGTGTGTTGTTTATCATTCCTATACTTTGAATGTTTCTTTGTATTTGGAAGTTAAGAATATCTCTACATACAGTACCACAATAATGATCTTCATTCAACCGGACTGCTTATAAAATGTTGGTCACACTAAATTATATCATACTGTGTGTAAGGCAATGGTCATATGAAACTACATCATCTTGTAATGTAGCGGTATCTGCTTACGTAAATGCATTCTCAGTGTTCACATAACAATGAAATTGTCCAAGTTTCCATTTCTTGGACATATATCCCTATTTTTATGCAGCAGATCACTGTGGTTGGATTTTTGTGTTTTTAGCTAACATGACAAGCTGTGTCTTTTGAAAGGAATATTCAGTCAATTTGTATTTAATATAACATTATTGGACTTTCATATGCTACTTTACTCTTGTTTTCTTTTCATCATGTATCTTTCTTTTTTTTTTTTTTCAGTACTGGGGTTTGAACTCAGGGTCCTACACCTTGAGCCACTCATCCAGCCCTTATTTTGAGGGAAGGTCTTAAGAACTATTTGCCTTGGACTGGCTTTGAACCAGTATACTCCTGATTTCTATCTCCTAAGTTGCTAGTATTACAGGTGTAACCCACTGGCACCCAGCTCGTCTTTTAAAAATTTACTGTGGTTTTATAAGTGAGGAAAACTTTCTGTATACATATTTGGTGTTTTTGCAATAAAAAAAAATAACAGCTTGATCTATTTTTTCTTTTTATGGTATTTTCGCCTTTTATTTGTATTGTATTATTTGTGTCACAAGTTCAATAATAACGTATTATTAATTGCCTTAAATATTCTTATGGTTTTAAAAATAATTAAAATATGCAAACATATACACAATCTATTATAACATTTAAAATATTTCCATTGCACTCATTTTTCTTGTGGATCGAAGCTGTAGATGATCTCTGTTAGTATTTTGTTTGTGCTATATACCTATGCTAGCTTGTTTTAGTACATATAGTTTCACTTGACATAGAATTTTTCACTTGACATAGAATTTTTGTTTTCTGTTTTATGTATTTGGCAGTTTGTAATTCCACTAATAACTGGTGCCAGTTTTTATGAGCAGTCTCATTAATCAGTCATATTGTTTTTGTTTTAATATGATGCCATTTGCTTTTCTATTTTTGGGTTTGTCTTTGTCTTTATCTTTTAGCATTTTGATTATGATAGTTTGTGTACTCCTTTTGTTTTTATTCTGTTTTGGGTTAAAAGAACTTCTTGGATATGGAAGAAAGCCTTTCATCTTTTTTGAGAGTTGTTCTTCCTCTATTCTTTAGTTTTTTTTGGTAGTGTCATTGCACATTCAACAATTTTTTATAGGAAATTGGCGTTTTAAATATTAGATATTAGCTACTCTTCTGTTTTATTCTTCTGCATTGTATTCTTTCACACTTTTTTGTTTGTTTGTTTGTTTTGCTTCACTGGCATCTTTCAGGGCCACTCTTGAGCATCTACAGTACATCTACCATTCATCCTCAGCATGTACCAATATATTGATCTAACTCACCCATAATCAAGCTCATTAAATTTATTTATTTATTGACTGATTGCCATCGGTTCTTTCACACTCTTTAAAGTAACTGTCATGTATTCTCTCTCATAGTCTCCGTATTTTGTTTTTAGTCCCAGTTTTAATTTTTACTTTTATTCTGTAAGAACCTCCTTATTGTACATAACAGTTCAGATGGCATCTAATTATTAGGGCCATTTTTGTATCCATAGTTCATAAACCTCCTCTCAACTGAGCAGTAAGCTTTGTGTGAGTTAAGGAACTCTCAGACTTGAAGTCAGTTATCAAGACTGCCATACTCAAAATGCTTTTTGTTCTGACGCTTGAGAAATAATAAAATTGTTACTTTTTATCTGTCTTATTCACTTATTATTTTTGTGTGAATTGTAGTGATGATTAGTAAATTTTTATTCACCCCCCAATGACTTTAAAAAATGATATCTATATAGCAAAAATTTTATGTAAATTATAGTAATCCAAATTGCTGTAAAATTAATAACAATTTATCTAACGTAGCTTAGATTGGAAATGACTAAGTTATTGTTTTAGTATTTTGTATTACTTTAATCAGTAATACTGAGAAGTTAGTTTATTAATTATTTTGTCAGTAAAATCAAATGATAATCTTCTTAGAGAAGTTTGTAACACTAGCCATAAATTTCAGGTAAAATTTCAGTAAAATTTCCAGCCTGTAAAATAAATTTTCTCTGGATCCAGAACTTTTTATCAAGTATAGAAAATTGTTCTCTAACTTATTTATTAGCTTTACACTAGGGATATAGCTCAGAGACAGAATGCCTGTCTATTACTTACAACGCTTTCAGCATCATGCGTATGCATGCACATACACACAATTTTTAGCAGTATCTCTTACTATGAATTTGTAAACGTGCTTTCCCCTGTGAATTTGGGGAAAGCACTATCTACTTCCAGTTCATTAGTGTGCTTGTCTGTACGAGGAGTAGAAAGGTAGTAGTTAAAATAAGCTATTTTTAAAAATACTCTCATAGATTGGGTATTTTCTTTTCAAGATTATTGCTAGTTCTATCTCCATTATAGCTTTAGTGGTAATTTTAAAAGTTTAAAAGTTTAATTATATTAAACAATATAATCCATAGACAGTGATTTTGTGTGTATGTATGTATTTGTGACTTTGTTAGTGACATATGTTTGTTTTCCTATTTAAATTTACAGGTACATTTTTCTTAAGATGAAAATGCATTTCAGAGTGGAGTAGAGTAATAACTTTACATGAGAAAAAAATTGGGTAGTACTAATAAATGAAATTGAATTAAACAGTTATATTAGATCATGTATTCTATAAATACTAACCACCCTATATCATTTATGATGGGCACTTTAAAAATTTTACGATATGATTTATATTGCACATTTGGCTGTTTGTGTTTAGTGGCTTTGCTTTTCTTTAACATTTTTATCTTCAATGCTTAGTCCTCAGTGTATTCATTCTGAGTTTGTGTAACACAATATTTAAGACAACTTTCTTTTTTTTTATTCTTTTTTTTTAGGGGCTTCATAAAGGTCAGCATTCACATTTGGCAGGACATAATGGTGAACAACCTCTATTTCCCCTTGAGCCTACTCAGAATCTCCAGGCAGCTAATAATGGTATTAAGAATCAGAATGGACATCATACTCTGCCTAGAAATTCAGTACCACAGGGAGATGCTCTCAGTCATCTCTCCTCTCTATTGCTACCTCAGATGGACAAAAAGGTATTACCATTACCAAAGAGAGCAAGCCCTCAAGAAATGGATCCCTGGGGTCTGAAATAAACAGGCCTGATGGAGACACATCTAGTAGCTGTGCTGGGATCAAGGGACCTTCTAATCATGTCCATGAGATGACAGCAGTTGCTATTTCCAGTCCTAACCATGGAGATTCTGTGTCACCAAATTTAATAACTGCAGACAGTCCTCAGCTCTCGGCCTTTTTGGTTGGAAAAGCCAATGACAATATAGGTACTGGCACTTGTGACAAAGTCAATAATATTCATCCATCTATTCACATAAAGACTGATAATTCTGTTGCCTCTTCACCCTCTTCAGCCACTTCCACAACACCTTCTCCAAAGTCCACTGAGCAGAAAAGCACGCATAGTGTTACCAACCTTAACAGTCCTCCCAGTGGGTTACATACAATTAATGGAAAAGGGCTGGAGAATTCACAGAGCTATATAAATGTTGACCTGCCTGTAGTTAGCCACAAATGTAGTCCTCAGATTATACCATCGATGTCTGTGTCCATATGCTCCAATTCAACAGAAGTTCTGAAGGCATGCAGGTTAGTGTGGGGAAATTCATCAAAAAGTAAAAATGGTTGACTGCTGGCAAGATCAGAAGATTTGATATATAATTTTGATACTTTATTAGAAAAGGAAATAGCATTTTATTAAAAATGGAAAGATTGCATATTTGCATATATGAATTAATAGTTCATAATGAGCTTTCTTATGTTTGTAAGCTATTGTTATACTTCACCAGGTATAAGAAGCATAGTTTTATAAGCTGCTTTATTTGAGACATACCGTTGTCTAGCTTACTGTCTTTTGTTTATTAGGGTTGTCATTTTCTATGTGATAGATTTTAGTCTGGGACTAAAATGAGAATGAGTTTCAATCATATTTGGTAGAAAACAGCAAGGCCTAGAATATCCTACTACTTTTTTTTCTCTTTTTTGTTTAGCGCTATTGAATGTTAGTTAGGGGTAGAATGGACTCCACTGATACTGTCTTTTTTTTTTTTTTTTATTTAATTTGAGGGTATTTTGCTTCACTCTAGAAGAGGTTTTAAAATGGGCAGGAAGTGCAGGGAGAATTGAAAGATGTGATTGATTACCAACTACTCTGGTAAGATCAGTCATATTCTATTATAATTATGGGATTGAGGTTTTAGTAATTTATTTAATAGGTTTTCATTCTCCCTATAAGATTAAATAAGAGTAGCAAATCAGCAACTACCTGCCCATAGTGGTATACTAGCCAGGATGAGGTGGGAGGATCTCGAGTTCTAGTCTAACCTGGGCTACTTAGGAAGTATGCTCCAAATAACCAGACCAGAAAAAAAATAGAATTAGGAATATTCCTCTGGTTTTCTGATAATATAGTAGTCACATCCCAATGATCCTAGTCCGCTTGTTTTTTTAAACAGAAATTTACATGCCATACAAATTTGCAACCTTGATATATATAATTCAGTTTTGTGTTTAATATATTACCATATATGTGCAGTTAACCAAAGTCTGTTTTATAGCATTTAAAAATAAACTGGACAGGTTAAACCAAAAAAATTTAATCTTTTTGGCTCAGAGTTGGGGTAGGGGTGTAGTGGAGATTGAACTCAGGGTATTGAACCTGCTAGGTAAGCATACTACCACTTGAAACATGACCCCTACCTTGTTTTTAGTTTGCTTCTTAGATAGGGACCCACACTTTTACCCAGTCTGGCCTTGGACCATGATCCTCCTACCTTTGTATCCTGAGTAACTAGGATTACAGATATGCTTCACAACACCCTGCTCAAATTTAATTTTAAGTAGGAACTTAACCTCACTTAAATTCTCACTCATAAATGTTGTGTTATGTATAAGCAACTAAAACCAATAAAATTTTGACAAAGATGGCAAACATAGAAAATGTCTGTAATACAGTAATGTTTTAGTATTTGAAATTTGAACAGTACTATATTGTTTTATTAGATTGCTAAAAGATCTTTCTGTTTTTTGATCAAAATAAACTAACAGAAGACAAATGTCCCATAAGTAGACAATCTTAACATTATCTTACATCTACTTTAATCATTTTGTTTTAGTTTCTGAGTTTAAAGTTTGAAAATAATTTTTGCTGATGCCTTCCTGAAGCAGAGGCCTTATATGTTTCTTCCCTGTTTCTGTATCTAAAAATTATTTAACTTCTAAGTCACTTGGATTTTTCTTATTAGACATTATCTAGGTATGTGCTTGTAGTGACTTGAGACAATAGTATTGGGCTAATGTAACAATTACATTTTTCCTGTAATACCAGCTACTCAGGAGGTCAAGAGCAGGAAGATCATTTTGAGGTCAACTCCTGAGAAAAATTAGCAAGACCCCATCTCAGCAACAATAAAAGTCCCCAGTTTGGTGGTACGTGCCTGTGACCTCAAGTATGTGGGAGACTGTAGGAAGAAGGATTGTGGTCTGAGGTTAGCGCTGGTCAAAAAACAAAAACAAAGACAAAAAAACCCACAAGACGCTACCTGAAAAATAACAAAAAATGACCAGAGTGAAGGGGCATGGGTCATGTACTTAGCAAGTGCAAGGCAATTAGTTAAAACTCCAGAACTAAAAAAAAAAAAAAACTTAAAAATTTTTGAGTAAAAGTTGCAATTAAATGGAATGCTATTGAAATGTCTTTCATATATTTTAGTAAAGATTTAATTTTCCATTTAATTTTGAGTCATATGTAAATGTTCAGTTTATAGTAAAATAATATATTTAAAGAAATACTTTTGACTTAGATTGTTAAAAGGACTTCTGCTTATTGTTTTACTTTGAAAGTTGAAATTTACTTGCTATCTGTGGATTTGTGGCTATAGGTGTTACTTCAGTTTACCTATCTTTCAGTTACTTATCTTTCAGTTTGTTACAGAAAGACATAACCATAAAATAAACAACAACAAGTAAAAAACAAAACAGGTGCAGGGAAGGAAGAGAAGAATGAAGAGAATATGAAAAATTGGTTTTTGACAGCTGGAGGTTAAATTATTCTCAGTATGAGACAAATAATTTGTCAGTTGATAGTGGCAACCTATTGTAAGTAAGAGTCTAGGCTGGTGGAATGGCTCAAATGGTAGAGCACCTGCCTAGCAAGTCTGAGGAACTGAGTTCAAACTCTACCAACCCCCCCCAAAAAAAAAGAGTCTAAGAATTCAGACAAATGGAAAGAAACATTTTGTAATTTATGTTAATTTTCCTGGTTAAGAAATTTCATGAAGATCACATTAACTGATGAATGGAGAGTGCCTTTCATTTCTATACTCAATGATATTGGTAAATGTGAAAGGAAACTGAAGTGAACTGTATTTGTTTATTTATTTGGTTGCTTGTTGTTTCCTCATTCATTCATTTATTCTTACTTATTTATTACTTATTGTGGTGGTACTAGAGTTTGAAGTCAGGACTTCATGCTTGTTAGGCAGGTGCTGTACCACTTCAGCTACTTCATCAGCCCTATTTTGTGATGACTGTTTTTGAGATAGGATCTTGAAAATTATTTGCCCAGGCTGGGCTCAAATCTCAGTCCTCCTGATATATGCCACCTTTGTAGCTAGGATTATAGGAGTATGCCACCACACCTAGGTTGTTTTTATTTTGTTTTGAGAAGAGTTATTGCTATGCTGCCCAGGCTACTCTTGAATATCTGGGCTCAGGTGATCCTTCTACCACAGCCTTCTGAGTACCTGGGATAACAGGCATGCATCACCATATTGGTTCTAGTCAGTAATTTCTAATTTGTCTACTGTGTGGTTAATCTTGGTAGCATTTATATCATTGCACTTCTTTTAAGATTTAAAATGTCAATTTTAACATTCAGTTGGTTATGGGTCCATTGCTTATACCTGATAATTTCTGTTTTCAAAATTCTGTGTTTGAACTGTAGAAATTGCACATCTCTCTCTCTCTCTCTCTTCTTTCTCTCCCTCCCTTCTGTTCCTTTCTCCTTTCCTCCTCCCTCCTTCCACCCCCTCCCCCACACACACTTTTGAATTGGGAATTGACAAGCTTAGGGCCTTACTCTTTTAGTTTGTTTTTCCAGTAGGATCTTACACTTTTGCCAGGACTCTCTTCCAACTGCAATCTACCTTCCTCAGTCTCCCAAATAGCTGGAATGACAGGCATGTAACTTCGTGCCTGGTCAGAGACATATTTCTACTACCTGCCCCTATTTTCTTTTGGTCTCAGTTTTCATATTGAAAACCTTTTCGTGCCACAATAAATTAAGCAACTTTTTCTACTACAGTTAAACACTCGACTTCATATATCCTTATGATATATTATTTATTCTAATTATGCATTGAAATTATCATTAGGTGATTTCATCATTGTATGTACATGACAGATTGTACGCATACAAAATATGATGGTCATGTTTGAATAGTCAATATAAATCTTATGGGACCATCAGCATGAACATGGCTTATTGTTGATTGAAAATTTTTGAGATGTTAGAAATGGACTTTCTAGAGTTAGAAGTTGTCAAAAAGATATTTTGGGAATATTTATTAAGATTTTATGTAGGAAAAGAGATATAATGGTGTCTAAGCCTTATTTTTTTGGTTAAAGTGTATTAACATTTAACCGAGGAAATTAGAGTTCATATTCTGGAGGTGGTGAGAAAGGGATATGATGAGCCATAAGAGAAATTTTTTGTTTGTTTATTTTCTCAATACTGAGTTTAACTGATGCGTTTACCAGGCACATTCCCTACTACTTGTACCATACCCCAAGACCTTTTTGCTGTACGAATGTTTGCCTCAGTTGGCCTGGACTGCATATATGGAATACCATTATGCCCAGTTTTTATCGACTGAAATGAGATGGAGTCTTGTGACATTTTTGACCAGGCTGTCATCCTTTTGATCTCTGCCTCTTGAGTAGCTAAGATAATCTTAGGCATAAGCCACCATGCCTGGCAATAAGAAGAAGTATTAAAGGTATAAAGTACTAAATGCATAAAGTATTTTAAAAAGTATAATATATATATTTAAAATATATGTTTATATATTTATAAGTATATCTAATTACATAAAAATATAGGTATTTAAAAAAATATAAAATATTTAAAAATACTTTATACCTGATTCACATTTTCCATTTAAAAAATAAATATAAAGCTGACATATTTCTTCTTTTTTTTCTGTTTTAAAAAGGAATGTAGGTAAAAATGGCTTGTCTAGTAGTCACATTTTGTTGGATAAGCGTCCGCCTCCAAGACCACCAGGTTCACCTTACCCTCCCTTGCCAAAGGAAAAGCTGAATCCACCCACACCTAGTATTTATGTGAGTCTCAGTTCATTGACTAGAAAGAATTCAATTGTTTGAACTAACTTATTTTTAAATAGATATATTTAAAAAATCAATAATGTTTGCTTTTTAGACAATAATAAAATTACTTTCACATGTTAAAGTATTTCAGAAATAGATTTTGTGTTCCTGATGTGACACATGAGGAACTCTTAATCTAAATGTCTCCCTCATAAAGTCCAAAATATTTAATGTATGGTGAAATATTTTTAGATTTCTTCCCAAATACTGACTGGGATTATTATGCTTACAGCAAAAGATAAACATGTTTCCAACTCTACTTGCTAGTTGCATGGACCTTAAAATTTCATTCACTTAAGTGTCATTTTTTTCTTTTCTGCAATGTAGGTTTTTGATGCAGAAAGTTGAAATGAGTTATATTAAGATAACATCTCCTGAATAATTTGTACCATTTCTACTACCTCTTTCGTTCAGGAAATAATGGAAGTACAATGCAACAGTACATTTAGGAAAAATTTGATGAGAGTTGATTCATGGGATAAGATCCTCTAAAAATGAATCAAATTTAAAGTGTTATCAAATTTATGTCACTATTTGCTCTATAACCTTTTGAAAAGACCAATAATACAATTAGCAGTACAATATTAATAATTACATATTTTAAGGTGTTAGGTCAGTTTTTTAAAAAATAATACAAACTTGCAGTGTTGTATATAATCATTTTTCCTGAGACCTAACAAAATTTTTACTTTTGCAGTTGGAAAATAAGCGTGATGCTTTCTTTCCTCCATTGCATCAGTTTTGCACCAATCCAAAAAACCCTGTTACAGTAATACGTGGCCTTGCTGGAGCTCTTAAATTAGGTAAGCTTTTTAAAAAGTATTTGAACATTTCTTTTACTATCTTTAAACTTATTACAGCAGTAGACTCTCACTGATTTATTTTTAGCGCTTAAGATATTTTAATCTTATCTCTGTTTTTTCCTTTTCTTTCTTTATCTGTTCCCTTATCTTTTTCATGGCTCTCCTGTATTTCTCTGTTTTTATTCTTCTTCCTCTCTATCTATGTCTTTCTTACTAATTCTTTTAAATTTTGACTATTTTTTTTTTTTTGACTGGGATTTGAACTTAGAGCCCCACACTTGCTAGGCAGGTGCTCTAAACTTGATTTACTCCACCAAGCCTGTTTTGTGTTGGGTATTTTCAGGATCCCCAACTATTTACCCAAAGCTAACTTTAAACACAGTCCTCTTGATCTCTGTCTCCCAAGTAGCTAGGAATACAGGCGTGAGCCACCAGCACTGGCTCAACTTTGTTTTAAAACTATGTATGTCTATTTCTATTGTGTTCTGTCATCCATGTGTTTTACCCATGGATATTGTAAGTGATATTGGTTGTTGGTAACTTCTGTGCTGAGTTTCTACTTTAACTTAAAATTTGCTTTAAAACATGAAAGATTTAAATTAAATAATAGAAATTTTAAATCTGCAATATTCATGTTAAATCCTGCTTGTAAATACCACAGCCTACTTGTTACACTCTTCCTGGTGTCTACATTCCTGGAATCTTGTATCAAGTAGCTTAGAACTATTTTAAGGAAAATTGATAGAACTTTAAAAATAAAAGTTTTAAGTACTTTGAAATTTTCATCTTACTGAATAGAGTTTTATTTATTAATTAAACATTTCTTTTTGAAGATCTTGGACTTTTTTCTACCAAAACTTTGGTAGAAGCTAACAATGGACATATGGTAGAGGTGAGGACACAGTTGTTGCAACCAGCAGAGGAAAACTGGGATCCCACTGGAACAAAGAAAATTTGGCATTGTGAAAGTAGTAAATCTCATACCACAATTGCTAAATATGCACAGTACCAAGCCTCCTCCTTCCAGGAATCATTGAGAGTAAGTTTATTTTGTATTAGAAACTGGGGAAAGTAGGGAGGGTTTTTTTTTTTTTAACATATTATTGCTGTACTGGGGTTACATTGTGACATTTACAAAAATTCTTACAATATACCATAGTTGAATTCATCCCCTCTATCATTCTTCTTTATCCACCTCCATCCATTCTTGAAATTGTTTCAGTAGGTCCCATTTTCATTTTTGTACAAGAGGACATAAAATTTCCACCATACTTAACTCTGCTTCACCCTCACACTGATTCCAACTTTCAGCCAGCCTTCCTGTTCTCCATGTTGAAAAAAAGACATTTTTGTTTGTTTAAGATATTTTTTATGTTTATATGTATTATAACCCAAATTGGTTCATTCCCTCTTTTTCTCCTATCTACCTTAGTCCCCTTCTTATGATGATTCTGACAGTCTTAAAAATTCTGTATTCATTCTTGTGTAGAAAGTACATTAATCAATCAACCATATTCCCTTTCTTGGAAACTTCTGATGGAAGGTGTTTTAATAGAGATGTTATTTGTTTGTTATTATTATTATTATTTTTTTGTGGGACTGGGGTTTGAACTAATGACTTCACACTTGCAAAGCAGGCACTGTACTTCTTGAGCCACACCTCAGTCTACACATTACTATCATTATTATTTTTTATGCCCTATTGTTTGAACTCATGGTCACATGCTTGCTAGGTAGGCATTCTTCTTGAGGCACTCCACAGAAACATTTTTTGTAACGGATTTTTCTTTGAGAGAGGGTCTCCTGAATTATTTGCCTATGACTGTCTTTGAACTGTGATCCTTCTGATCTATGCCTTGTGAGTAGGTAGTATTACAGGGTAAGAAAGCTGTTGGCACCCAGCCAAACTGAACATTTTAACAAATATTCCTACTTTAAAACCTAACCCCATCATTTTCTCCCTTAAAATGACCCACACCCAATCTACTGAAACTGCATTTCCTTCCCAATCTTCTTATTATAATTAGGTTTTTGTTTGTTTGTTTGGCAGCACTGGGTTTGAACTCAGGTCTTCTTGCTTGCTAGGCAGGTGCTCTTCTCACTAAAGTCACTTCCCCAATAACTTTTTTTTCTGTCAGTTTGATGTATCCTAGTAAACTTATGCTAGTTTACAGTTAATATTATTGTCAAAAGAACACATTTTTGTTAATAGGAAAATAAAATTGTTGTTTTGCTTATCCTATTGAAAATAATAAACTAAGATTATTTGATAAAAATAGTAATTTTTATTTAATATTTACTTTAATAAAAAAATAAAGACTATTTATATATATTAATGTGTGAATGTACTTATGTTTTTATGTATTTATTTATAGGGTGAGATGTTCATTCATTTATCCAAAGGAGATGTTTCTGTTTTGTTTTTTCTAGAGATACTGCTACCACATGCATTAGTCATCTTTCCGAATTAATAGTAGCCTTAACTAAAATTGCAGAAGTAGAAATTTACAGAAATGCCTCAAAGTATATGAAAAGTTGAAAAACAAACAAAATGTTAAGTGAGATGTTGGTTAGTGATTTTTTTTTTTTTTGATGGTACTGGGGTTTGAAATCAGGGCTATGTACTTGCTGGGAAACAACATCAGAAGAATAGCTAAAGATGAGAGGAATACAATTGTTTGAATTAGTTTTCAGCACATAGCTGTTTTATGTGGTGTCTTTTTTTAGTATAAAGTTTTCAAGATATGTTCATGCTATAGTATATATCACTGCTGTGTTTCTTTTTTTTTGACAAATAATATTTCACAGTATGGGATATGCTACCTTTTTTTAATCTCTTGCCAGTTGATGAGCATCAGTTGTTTTACATTTTACCTTGTGGCTATTCTCAGTAATGCTATTATGCCTGTAATTCCAGCAACTCAGGAGGTAGAGGTAAGAGAATCAAGATCAAAGACTGGCTCAGGCAAAAACTAGAGACCTATCTCAAAAACACCAACAGCAAAAAGGCCTGGAGGCATGAATCAGGTGATAAAGTGCTTTATCAGTTTAAGCTCAGATACCTCAAAAAGAAAAAACATCCACTAACATTTCTCATCTTCCCATTTCTCTTATCTCATTTCTCCGTACTTTCACCACCTAAGCTAAACCTGTGGGTGTGAAGTGGTATCTCCTTATGATTTTGATTTCCATTTCTCAAATGGCTATTTATTTGTTTAATTGGGCTATTTACTGTTCACTTCAAAATATATCTTATATGTATACTCTTCTAATAAATTCATTGATCAGTATTTAATGTAGCTCAGGGTAGAATCAAAGAAGCAGCCCTCCTGCCTCAGGTTCCCAAGTATTGACCTCGTAAGTGTGTTACCACCATACCCTGTGAAAGTTTCAGTGTTGTTAGATTCTAGTTTTTTGCTTTTTTTTTTTTTTCTTTCCGCTAAAAACCTATTGTGTAATCCATGTTCATGGAGATTTACTCCTGGAAGAGTTTTATAGATTTTACTTCTGATGTTTATGTTTTCTTCCATTTTAGGTTAAATGATATTATAGGCTAGAATCCATCTTCATTGATTTTTATTTGTATTTTACGAACCATTTCCTCTTTTATAATCTTGTCATTCTTGTCAAAAGAGTAACACACATTTTTATATCCAGCATTTAATTTTCTTATTACTATTATGGAAATACATTGCTATTTATATAGAATTCACTATGTCAAAAACCTAGCCTGTGAAGAACTTTCATATGCCCTTAACTTTATTAGTGTGAATCACAAAGGCAAAGGAAAGGATGACTGAACAAAATAATAACAGAAATAAAGGATGTTAACTTTTCTCACCCTGTATTTCTATATGGGCATGTGCACTTGCATATATAAAAGCAACATTCCTTCTGCAAGTTTAGAGTGTGTGCTGTTTGCCATTTGTAATCAACATTGAAAGCTAATCTTGTTTTAGTTTTTTTTTTAGTTTCTTGTATTTGTTATAAATGTAAGCATCTACAGATTTTCTTCTTCTGGGACAGGGTATACAGAGAAAAACAAAGCAATGTTTTTTTGATATCATAGTAGAGCATTGAGCCTTAGTACTTGGTGCATTCTTCAGATTTTTTCCCCATAGTTATTTGTCCTTTTTGCACATTATTCTAATTTTATTTTTGGTTCTTTCTCAAATTTCCTTGATAAAACATAAATTAAAATTTCTTTTCTACTTACAGTCTCTGTTGAATCAAAGGAAAATTAAATAGGTTTCTGCTTTTCTTATAAATTAATACCTGAGTGTCAAAACAGTAATTTTGAAGTGTTAGAGGAATTTGAGTACTAAGTTCTGAGATTTGACTTTTCCTAAGTCTTAATTTAAATAATGTGATAAATTGGTGCTATGTCCTCTAAAATGTGCCAGCAGAATCTTAATTTTAAAACATAGGCAATTATTGGTCATGTAGAGAAGAGTATTTTGTTATTGATTTGTATTATAGAAATAAAATGATAGTATGTTATAGGATATTAAGTGTGAATATTTTGTTCATTGTATAGGAGGAAAATGAGAGAAAAACACAACTTAAAGACTATTCAGATAATGAGTCCACGTCTTCAGAGAAGTAAGTAACTTTTAGCATCCACTAAGTATTTCTGTCTTAAAGGCTTGGGTTTAATATTTTCTGTTTTTTTAAGTTCTGGAAGGAGAAGGAAAGGACCTTTTAAAACCATAAAATCTGGAATCAACATTGACCTCTCTGATAACAAAAAGTAAGTATCAACAGCAATCATTTTTGCATTTACTTACACGTGTATACACTATTGCCTCCTACTCCCTCCTCTCTCTTTCAAGGCAGAACGTATTCCATGTGCAATCCGGGAAGGAGAGACAAAAGAGAGGGGTTGAGGGGGTGAATTCAAGTATGATATATTTGATACATTGTAAGAACTTTCGCAGATACTCTAGTGTATCCCCACCCAGCACACAATAATAATAGGCATTCTAAAATGCCAGTTTTAATACACGTTTCATTTCAAAATACTATGCTGATCATTCTTTCTTTTAAAATTGAGATTGCTTCTCCCTGTTTCTTTTTTTTCTTCTGGACCTGAATATACTGATACTTTATGCATTTAATTATGTTCTGGGTGTTAATTTACTTTAGTAAATACTATGGAACTTATTAGATTTTTTCTTTTGATGATATTGATAATTGCAAGAAATATTAAATGGCAGACAAAAGTTAAAAAAAGAAGTATCACAGCTCTAGTATTATTTCCATGAACTGAAGCAGATGAGATTGCAAGATAAGGAGCTGTCTAACTTCATATTTTTTTAAATCCCTATTTATTTTACATTGTCATCATCTCTTTTCTTTATGTTGACAAATAAGTTTCAACTGAAAACTTTAGCATTTCAACATTATTTTTATAAGAGTTTACAATTAGAGTCCACCCCAGACATACCTGTCATGGATATAAGTACTAATTTACAAACTGAAAAATGAAAATGATTTGTTTCCTTTACTAAGTTATTATAAATTTTTAGTAGTTTTTTTCAGTGATATTTGTTTTAGGACTTTTTCATCCTTGGAAAAATTTAAACATTAACACGAGATTTTAACTCTGTAGGTAAAATACTTAAAGTTGTATCTGTGTTTCTGACTGTATTATAAGGATTGGGCTAATTCTCACTAATAATGGCAGAAGGTTTCAGTTTCAACCTGTTATTTTATTGCAGGTGGAAGTTGCAGTTACATGAACTGACTAAACTTCCTGCTTTTGTGCGTGTTGTATCAGCAGGAAATCTTCTAAGCCACGTTGGTCATACCATACTGGGCATGAATACAGTTCAGCTATACATGAAAGTTCCAGGAAGTAGAACACCAGGTGATTTTTATGAGTAAATATATCTAGGATAGTTGAAAGAATAACATTAAGTATGTAATACAACAGAACCAGGGTCTCCCCACTTATAATTAATAAAGCTGATCTGATTTTTAAGGGTTTTTTTAGGAGGGGTGAGAATGTATATAATTATTCTAAAGTGAAGTTAGAGTGTTAACTGTTTTCCCATTGTGTCTTTAGGTTTTTAAATACACAAATAACAAAATAATCTGGAAAATTTAAAGTATAGGATTACTAAGTCATTTAATGTATGAAGGAAGCAATGATAGTAAGTTCTTATGTCATTGACTGCAGCTGATGTTTTCAGTTTTTCACCACAATTACAATGAGAAAAAGCACATTATGTAATGAATGAGTTTATTTGAACTGTATGTTAAAAAAAATCATTGACAATACTTATAAATTATTATTTTCAGTCTCCTTTCACTCTTTAAAACACATATTTCAAACTTTCTAATGTAGAAATCAGCAAACTTCTTCGAAGGGCTAGAGAGTAAAATGATGCTACTTTGAAAACCAAGATGCTTAATTGGAGTATTTTGTGGGTACATACATGAAAACAGATATTAATTTCCATCACTTTCTAGTTGCTGAAAATAAAAATAAATGACAGCTTGAATACAAGTTTTGTCTTCTAACAAGGATAGAATTTTCTTACACTGCTGGTGGGAATGTAAACTAGTACAACCATTCTGGAAAAAAATTTGGAGGCTACTTAAAAAGCTAAACATCGATCTACCATTTGATCCAGTAATACCACTCTTGGGGATATACCCAAAAGACTGTGACACAGGTTACTCCAGAGGCACCTGCACACCCATGTTTATTGCGGCACTATTCACAATAGCCAAGTTATGGAAACAGCCAAGATGCCCCACCACTGACGAATGGATTAAGAAAATGTGGTATTTATATACAATGGAATTTTATGCAGCCATGAAGAAGAACGAAATGTTATCATTCACTGGTAAATGGATGGAATTGGAGAACATCATTCTGAGTGAGGTTAGCCTGGCCCAAAAGACCAAAAATCGTATGTTCTTCCTCATATGCGGACATTAGATCAAGGGCAAACATAACAAGGGGATTGGACTTTGAGCACATGATAAAAGCGAGAGCACACAAGGGAGGTCTGAGGCGAGGTAAGACACCCAAAAAATTAGCTAGCATTTGTTGCCCTCAACACAGAGAAACTAAAGCAGATACCTTAAAAACAGCTGAGGCCAATAGGAGAAGGGGACCAGGAACTAGAGAAAAGGTTAGTTCTAGAAGAATTAATTTAGAAGGTAACACACACGCACAGGAAATCAATGCGAGACAACTCCCTGTATAGCTATCCTTATCTCAACCAGCAAAAACCCTTGTTCCTTCCCATTATTGCTTATACTCTCTCTTCAACAAAATTAGAGATAAGGGCAAAATAGTTTCTGCCGGGTAGCGAGGGGGTCCGTGGGGGGGCAGATATAGAGGGCAGAGTGGGTGGTAAGGAGGGGGCAGGGGGGAGAAATGACCCAAACATTGTATGCAAATATGAATAATAAAAAAAAAGAATTATTTTTTGGACTATAACATTTTACATCACTACAGGTCAAAAGCTGTAGTCTCAGTCATTAAAGTTTATCATAAATGTACATCTGTTAAAGTTGTTCTGTAATGCCTTTTAAAATGTATTTTGTCTAAATTGATACTGTTAAATACTAATGTCAACCTGTAAGCATATTTTCTTAAGCACATTAATTACTTTATTTGTCCTGTTTAGTTATCGTAACATTACAGTTTCTTTCAAATTGAAGTTTAGTTTCACCTTCAATTGGCAGGTTCCTTGGTTGCACGAATTGTTTTTAAATATGGAAAAATTTCTCTGCACTTGAAGTAAGGTTTGAAATTGCTGTAGTTTGAGCATAAAACTGTATGTTGTGTATGTGGGGATATTGGGATTTAGCTTCTTGTTTTGGATAGCATAGCAAGTGAAATGTGATGCAGCTAGATATTACCTTTGGAGAGTTTTGTTTTGCTTTTTGTTTTTCAAAAATGGCTTTATTGTAGTATAAGTTTCACATGAAAGTTCTATCTTACTTTGTAATTTTGGGTTGACTTTGTTAGTGATCATTTTAAGGAACTGCAACAAAATTTCTGTGGCCAGTTTAGTTCAGTAATAGTTGTTCCTAGAATTCAGAAAAATTCGTCTTAACTCTGAGTTCTAACAACAGCAATACATATTCTTCATTGATTGCTAAGTCATTGTCTATTTGGGGGTGACAAGTAAGGGTATTTTTATTTCTGATAAAAATTCATGGAACTCATGTTCAGTAAGTCTATAAGTGGCAAGTGATGAGGAAATGCAATAGCTGTTAGCTATTGTATTCCCTGTTTTAAAGGTTTATTTTTTTGCTCAGTCTTTAGAAGCCTCCAGTGACTGAAGAGTATATTTCCCCACTAAATTTATAATGTGATTATGACTTTCATTTCCTTTTACTTTTCAGGTCACCAAGAGAATAACAACTTCTGTTCTGTTAACATAAATATTGGACCTGGAGACTGTGAGTGGTTTGTTGTACCTGAAGATTACTGGGGTGTTCTGAATGATTTCTGTGAAAAGTAGGTTTTAGAACTAAACTGCCATTTAACATATATTGTAAGAAAACAGCTGATTGATTGATTGATTGCACTACTAGGGTTTGATTCAGGCCTCATTGCTCTACCACTTGAGCTACTCCAAGAAAACAGTTGTTTTGAATGATAAAGTACAAATGGTATTTCTTAGTGCAAGTTTCAGTTGTTATTTAATGCTCATTAGAATTTTTTTATAAAGATATAGTTGTTCTGGGGATGTATGGTTTCATATCTTTTGTATTGTGTAGAATAGTCAATAAAGAATGACATAAAATCAGTCTTTACAATAGTAACAGGTAGGAATCGAAGGGTAGCAAATGAATTAATTTTCTGGTAATTTAAAAGTCGATGTGTGAAGACATATTTTCTTTTGGCAAATGTGTTTTAAAGAAAAATAACAGTCTTATTGTGTGGCAAGAATTCAAAAAATTAAATATCCTTATGTATCTTTCTAGTTTAGAATAAAAACATCAGTGTCTTAGTATGGAAATCACACCATTTCTTTTTTCAGAGATGGTGATAATATTAGTGGAAAATGCTATTGTGTACATTTAAAATGTACTATATATTTACAACATATGACAAAAATTGAATAAAATTTTCATAATCATTCACATGCAGGATTATTTTAAAACCAATTCATGTGTGTATTTACAGACTAATTTCTTTATTTTTCTGCTGGTGTTCGGGACTAAACCCAGGGGGCTTCACACATAGTAGATAGTAAGCTAGTCTACCCCCATCCTGGTAATTTCTTCTTTCATTAAATATAATTGTTAGTAATTTTTTTGTGTTTATGGGTTACCACATGATGCTTCAATACAAATATAATCACTCATGTTCAAATCAGGTTAACCATACCTATTTCTGCAAATACTTACTATATCTTTGTGTTGAAATTATTCAAAATCCTTGTTTGTAGGGTATTTGAAGTACAAAATAGTAGTCTTATAAAAGTTTGTGCTTTATAGTTTAAAAAGGGCTTTAATGAGTATTTGATAAGATGTTAACCATAGTAAAAAGAGAAAAAGTATACTCTTTACATAATTTTCTTACCAACTAGCAAGAAATGATCCTTTTTATTTTCTTTGGTATGTAATATATATTTTCCTCATCATAAGAAAGGTGATTTTTTTTGTCCTTTGTGTCTTGCAAAAGCACATACTCTACCACTAAAGATGAAATATTCTTAAGTTTAAAATTTTTTATTAAACACTTCAATTTGAACATGTTTTTAAACAATGGATTTAAATGTAGAGTCATGAACTATAGAAATTATCAGTTTCAGAAGAATGATCTATATGCAAAATAAAGTGACAGTGAAATTGCAAAGAGGGCACATAATGTTTCTATAAATTAAGAAATATTTATCATTTAAACTTGGTGTTTACATTACTTCCATGTTTAAACTTTTCAGGTTATTACTATCTTTGACTGCAGGATGCTTAGCCTTTTGTCTGAAAAAGGGAAGAAGCTAAGCCTTGTAATAATAGTTCCTTACTCAAATAATTAACAAACTCAGTAGTTTAACAAATACTATAATACATATCTTCATAACTTTAAGAAATGAATTCTATCTGTAGAACAATGAGAATTTCCCTATGGTTCTTCTCTTTATCTTGTGTAGCTATCAGTTTTCTGGTTGAACTTTTGAGAGGGTAACAGATTCTGCCTTGATTGATTTTGCTTTCTTTTTCTTTTCCTACTCCTACTTCGCTCTTCCTCTTTGTTCTTTCTCTTCTGATGCTTTTTCCTCTTTCTTTTTTTCCCCAGTAAAACTTTATATACTTTTATGTTTGTAGCATATTGGGTAAGTTATGGTTAAGATTTGTGTGGTATTGATAACTTCTCCCTCCTTCCATCCCTTCTTCCCTCCCTACCTCTTTTCCTTGTTTTCTTTCTTTCCTCCCCCATTCTACCTTCTCATCTTCCTGCTTTCCTTTCTCACTGATGCCTCCATCCTTCTTTTTTCTACTACTTCTTCTTTCCTTTCCTTTTTTATTTCTTTTTACTGATCGCTCTTTGGAAGATTATAGAAAACACTAATTTGTTGTTGTTGTTGTTGTGGCATTGGGGCTTGAACTCAGGGCCTCATGCTTGCTAGGCAAGTACTCTACCACTTGAGCCATTCAAACAGTCCAGAAAACACTAATTTTTTTAATCCTAAAACTGAAGTGTTTTCTAGACTTAGATGAAGAAAAGCCTTACATTTTTAGGGTTAATAATGAAAGGTAAAAAACACTTCACATAGACAATTCCAAATTACCATTTACCACATTTTTTTAAAGAAAAAAATACACAAACAAAAGCTGTTTTTGAAATGTTAATAAAAATTTGTAGTATGTGAATTTCTTCTTGAGAAAACTTAATTTGAGGAAATTAAAATGTATCATTAATTCTTTTTAGAAAATTCTGTCAGTCACTAAGTAATCATGGCAGCTAATATTACATTGAAAGAGATAAATAGAATCAGATTTTAAAATTAAACCTTATCAATTTAATATGTCAGTATCTATGCCTTTTGTGCATAAATTTTCAGATATGTATGCTTCTTTTATAAAAAAATGCTCTTTTGGGAGTTTTCTCAACTATGATTAAGTCAATTAATTTTTAAATTCCAATAGAAATCTACATTCTGTTTCTTGCTCCTTTCCCTGCTTATGTTATAGCAGTAAGGAAGATTCTGGGTTCTCTCTTTTCTCGGAATTAAAGATTTTATAGTTTCTTATACCTGTCATTGTGTTTAGATTAAAAATTTAAATGACTCGACGTAGTCTTCACCCTTAACTTTCTTTATTAAGGAGACAGATATTAAAAGTTTCTTGATGAAGAAAGAATGAATTAAAATGTTCTTCTGTTTTGTTTTGTGCACTGTGGCTGGAACTCTGGGCCTTCACCTTGAGCCGCTCCACAAGCCCTTTATGTGTTAGGTATTTTTGAGATAGGGTTTTGTGGAACTCTTTGTCTGGGCTGGTTTTGAACCCCGATCCTTTTGGTCTCTTCCTCCTGAGTAGCTAAGATTACAGGCATGAGCCACTGGTGCCCAGCTAAAATACTCTGTTGAAACAAAATTAAAAAATCTGTATTTAAGTGTAACTTGAAACTTTTAACTTTCAGATTTTTGAATAGGAAGTTTAATATACCTGATCTTGGGTAAGTCAACCAATAATCACTTATAGCTAATTATAGTGAGAATTGACCCTTTCACATTGAAATCTTGAAAAAATGCAATTCTTGTTGCAGTGCTTTTACAATTCAGCATTGTAATGGAATAAATATTGCTATCATTTAAACTTTTGAGATAATCTTCCCATCTTTCATAAAACACTAAAAATGATCCTCTAATTTTTTTTCCCCCAGAAATAATTTGAATTTCCTAATGAGTTCTTGGTGGCCCAACCTTGAAGATCTTTATGAAGCAAATGTTCCTGTGTATAGGTTTATTCAGCGACCTGGAGATTTGGTCTGGATAAATGCTGGCACTGTGTATTGGGTTCAGGCAATGGGATGGTGCAACAACATTGCCTGGAATGTTGGTCCACTTACAGCTATTAAAAAAATACAACAGATTTTACATTTTATATGATTTTTTTCTAGTGGTTACTTTTAGAGTAGGGAAAATCTTAATTCATAGTGCAGAGACCAAATTCAACTTTCAAAATGGCAATGCCCCACAGAGGTTTCAGTAAACAGTAAATATATTTCTTTGTAGACATACAAGATATGCTTTTGATGTTTTAGAGTGCTGTGGTTTGATTTTACAAAGGAAAATCTTTATGGAAGAGTAAAATGACAATATAATTTAGAATTTTTATTTCATATGCCATATTATTCAGGCAACCCTATTTATTATACAAAAGCTAAGGAGCCTGTCTTTGGAGCCAGAAGACCTCAACTGGACATTTGCTGTACATTGTTGACTTTGTGACTTTGGGCCAGTTTTTAACTTGATTTCACCATCTGCAAAATGTGGATTAGAAAATCAAGGTGGCCTTGAAAGGATGGAATAGTATAAAGTGTAAAAACAACTAAGCATAATGCCTGACATATTGAGTACTCTTTACCTAACTTTTTAAAAGCCATCATCATTATGTAATGGAATATTTTATGTAATGCATTGTTTTCAGATGGATGTTGAACTTGAGATGTAGTAATAACCATCTTCTTCTTATTTACTACTTTGGTTGACTTTATAACTGTTGCTGTTTTTCCCTTCTAGCCTGCAGTATAAATTGGCAGTGGAACGGTATGAATGGAATAAACTTCAGAATGTGAAATCATTAGTACCCATGGTTCATCTTTCCTGGAATATGGCACGAAATATCAAAGTCTCAGATGCAAAACTTTTTGAAATGATAAAGTAAGTGCTTTCTAAAACTGCTGTAATCCCTCTTCTGAGGGTAATGTTTAGTATACAGTATTTTTTCTTGAATGAATTATGTTGGTACAAGATATAAAATGGTTCAGAGTTTTGTCAAAATACCGTAAAAGAATGTGCACCTTAAAAATATGTTCTTCCTTTCCAAATAGTCATCCATGATATGATAAGATGAGAAATAATAACATATATGATTGTATTGAGTAAATTTACAAACTCGTATTTCCATCTCTACTTTGATAAAAGTAATTTCCTAGGAAATCATATTTTATTTTAAAATTGTTATTTTGGCTTACCCTTTTTTTTTTCCAGTTGGCAGCTAAAAATTGAATGTATTTACGGCATACAGGTTGATGATTTACTGTACATGTGCTTAAGGAAATACGCACCACAATCCCTTGATTGTATTCATATAGTTAACAATTGCATGAGCATATTTATATTGGGAATGCCACTTTCCTAGCAGGTTTTCAGTTTAAATACAATATTAGTTGTTGCCACATCCTCAGAACTTATCTTGTATAACTGATAAGTTGCACCATTGACCAACATCTTTCCAGATCACTCTAATCCAACATTCTACTCTGTGCTTCTGATTTTCATTTTA